CTCTTTCATTGTAGTGCTGGGGTTTACATTTGATTGACTTGATGTGGATTAGGCTATCTTACAACTTTGTAGGGGTAGAGGTTAACTTGTAGAAAACTGATGGCAATGCAAATAATTCTCGTCTGAGAGCAACGCAAACAACTCCTACGCGTAGTAACGCAAATGAATTTTGTCCAGCAAAGATGGAATTGATTTTCATCTGGTAGAAGAGATAATCCCAAACATCACAGTTTATTACTTAATAAAATATTAATGTTTTTGCAACTATTAGCAAATTTATTTTAGCATTCCTTTGGCTGATAATCTAAATCTCTAAAACTCAAATTCTCATTGAACAAGTCTTACCATTTACTGGGTGCCTCATTATCTAGGATAATGGGTGAGTAGTTTATTATGATGAATAAAGTCTTTGGCATGTGTTCATTATATATTTGTATAAGAGTTATGTTTTTAACCTTTTGAAAATTACAATTTAGCAGACTATAAGAAAATAAATACATATCAGGTGGTAATAATTTATAAGAATAAATGTGGGGTAAGAGGACAGCTGTTAATGGTGGCGTAGGGCCCAGTCAATCAATCCTGTAATTCTTTTTTTTTTTTCTCCTCCTGCTTTTTTAAAAAATTATTATTATTATTATTATTTTGTGAGGAAGATCAGCCCTTAGCTAACATCCATGCCAATTCTCCTCTTTTTTTTTAGCTGAAGACCACTGGCCCAGACCTAACATCTATTGCCAATCCCCCTCCTTTTTCTTTTTTTCCCCCTTTTTCTCCCCAAAGCCCCAGTAGATAGTTGTATGTCATAACTGCACATCCTTCTAGTTGCTGTATGTGGGACACCACCTCAGCATGGCCTGAGAAGCAGTGCATCGGGTGTGCGCCCGGGGTTCCGAACCTGGGCTGCCAGTAGCAGAGCGTGGACACTTAATTGGCTAAGCCACGGGGCCGGCTCGTGTAATTCTCTCTTAACTGTAAGTGGAATCCATCCTCTTCTCTCCATCTTACTGCCACCACACTAATCCAGAACATCATCTTCTCTCATCTGACCTCCCTGCCTGCCTTACCCCTAACTACTCTGATCATCTGCTGTCAGATGTTCATTTTTAAAAACACTTATCTGATCATGTTCCTCCTCTCCACCGGCTCCTTGGTGGATTCAAGTTTTGTGGGGCCTAAAGCTTACTCAAATTCGGGAGGCCTTCTTTAAGAAAAACAATACAAAATTAGGTACAGGCCCTTGAAGGGGGCAGTGCCAATGACAGGTCCTGAAACCCAAGCTTCATTAGCTTCACTATAAATCCGCCTCTGCCTACAAGTCTAGCCTGTTTTTTTCCTCTTAGGATCTTTTCTTCGTGCAACTTCTGCCTAGAAGGCCCTTACCACCCCTTTTTGCCTAGTTAACTCTTTCAGTATTCAAGTGCCAGTTCCCAGTCCTCTCTGACCCCCAAACTGGGTCAGGGACCTTTACGGAGTCTCTCTCAATGCTCCAAACATCCAGGCGGAGCCACCATTCTGTGCGAATGGTTGCTCTTTTCCAGCGCTCTCAAAGATCGTTGGCGGGGCGAGGTTTGCACCCGGGATGTAAAGATGGGTGGAGCCCCGGGAGAGAGTCAGCGGTAATTCCCTCCCCTTTACGTCCAGAGCGGCGCGCACCACCTCTCCGGAACCCGCGAGCCTCCGGTTGCGGTTCCGGTCGGAATTACCGGCAACGCACGCAGACATGGCTGCGCTGGTAGTGAGAGGTGTTCGGGACGTGCTGAAGCGGGCCGACTTCGCGACGGTCCCGCGGAGACATCGACATAAGAAGAAATGGGTAAGGCCCAGGAGGGAACAGTGACAGCGGCCCCTTGCCACCGCCTCTCGGGAAACCTCCCCAGCCCTTCCACTGCTCGCCCGGCTCAGTTAGGGTCGCTCCTCTCTCCGGTTGGAACGCCTTCGACCTCTTGTCCCGCCCCTCAGGGAGCGTCACTAGGCTCCTCCCTCTCACATCTGTTACGTCGTCGCCTCTGTCCGCCCTTTTATTTCGTCACGAGTCTTCGGCTCTCCCTCTTGATAAGTGTGCAGCCTCCTGACTCCGCCCCTCTGTTACGTCATCGCTTCCGCCGTCATTCTTTCAGTTATGTCACCGCCTCTTGTTCCCCTGCTCGCGGTTCCGTTCCGCTTGGCTCCCACTACCTCTTCCCCTTCCCTCCCTCCCCCTCCCCCTCCCTCCCCTTCTTTCCTACCCCGACCTCTTCCCCTCCGCCCCCTATGACCTCCTCTCCTCCTTTCCTCCGAGAACTTCGAGCCCGGCCGCCCTCACCCCTCGGAAAATGTCACAGCGACTTCCCTGTCCTCCCTGGGTCTCCTTCGCCCTCCAGGAAAGGAGTCAACTCCCTCACCCTCCAGCTGCCTCTGGCGCCCAGGAAAGGTTACAGTGACCACCCTGCCGGTAGTCCCGGCCTTTCCCCAAACTCAGGCAAAAGGTGCAGCGACTCCCCTCACCCCCTGGGCTCTCCCCGCTGCTCCAGACACCCTTTCTCTGGCCTCACCTGTAGCCCTGGAATTTCTTCCGTAACCGGCCCGCCCCC